CAAAAAGTGAATTCTAATTAGTACAAAAGAAACCATTTTACGCCAAGCCACAGATCGATCCCACTAGAGCTACCGTACACCTACCGTACTCTCAAGATTGCGAGACTGTATTGCATCAGAAGAGCTTCCAGTTCAGCCGTGTAAAAACCTTTTTTTGCTAATACAAGAAACTTTTTTTTACACTGACGGTTTACAGCGATACGACGGTAAAAGACACTTTTTTGCAAGATCTCCGTCTTCTAATTTTCAAAAGACAGAGGCGTAGTTTAGAGGTAACATGCAGGAAACAAAAGGAAAAACATGAGGAGAGGACGCACCGGAATCAGACGAGCACCGGGAGTTAACGTGGTTAGTGAAAAGCGAGTGACAAGTCCGGGTTTCTTGGTAGTGGTAAGTAGTGTGATATCATCATCATCTGGCGGATTAGTAGTAGTAGGGGTGGATGAGATAGACGGAGGTGTTATGATGTAGACCAACTTAAACACGGACACTGAGAGGTGGCGGAAAACTCGGACAGATAGCTCTTACCTCATCGGCTACGGTATGGTTGTTATCGTTTTGTTCTGATAGCCAGTGGCCGATCAGAAAGGCTAGAAAGACGGCGAGAATAAAGACTGCATGGATTAGGAGAACGATTATACATCTTCTAGCGTAGTCTGGCTTACGATGTGAAATCGAGGACAGACCAGAGACGATCGAGTCTGGAAGAAAATTTTTTTGCTAAGTAATTTGTAATTAGTCAAAATTATTGAAAGTAGAAGTGCATTACTGCTTATTTGCGGCAAAAAAGGCTAAAAAATAAAGGAGATAGGACTGCCTCAAAAATCGTGCTTTTTAGAGATATTTTCTTTATTGAGCCTTCCATGGAGCCAAAGTACCATTAAAAGAGCTAGCTTAACTTCAGAATGGGTTTACGAAACAGCGAATTCTTTCCATTACTGTAGTACTACGGTAGCATTTGCGCGTTCTTGCTTTCAGAGTTGATTTATAACTCAATCAAGTGATGAGGTAGCAAGAAAAACTAAATAACTTATTTTTGATTTTGAGAGAGGTTATTTTATTTTACTATTCATTTATTTTGCTTTTTATTATTTTCAACTTTGAGACATCCATCTTGAGAACGGATTCTGTGTAGAGAATATTTGGTACCCTATATCAGCATTTTCCACATTCTTATTTTCTAGCTGAATCCTCTAGCTTTCCACTTACCCGTATGGAATTTTGCCGTAATCAATTTTCTTGTAGTTTTATTGTATTTTCAACCTATACCGCTTATTTTCAACCCATCGCATCTTTTCATTTTTTTCATTTTTCCTTCTTTCCTTTTAACATCCCAGGCCGAGCATAGCCGAAAATTTTGGCCCCTTCAAGGAAACACATAGGATCACTTTGGGCTACTA